AGGGGATATTGACACTCGTTGATGAACGTCCACCTGGCCACTAACGGAGCTCATCTGTCCCGCTCTGCCTTGGACCTCGACAGAGCCCCTGACAGCTGCAATGACTGGTAATAGGCAGATAGTATAATAAATAATTATAATAAACTTTAAAAAAATTTAAATTTAACTTACACACCTACACGTAACCACAGGACTAGGGGTATCTAAGGTGGTAGACCAACTTTATCATTACCTGAACTTCAAACCAAACATAAGCCAGGTCTATTCGTAAGGACCTGGTCGAGCATGTATCGCACAAGCCGCCTCGACGACAAACAGAGCACAGACCTAAGTGAACAGCAACTTAGCGATCGTAGCGGCTGAGGCTTCGTTAGGCAGTCCACTGTCCGCTGGAACATCGACTACTCGTATACCTGAAGCTGACAAGGGTCGCGCCTATTTTAGCAATCCCCTGATCCCTATCAATAAGTTGCAAAGGGCGAACACAGAGTAGGCATCTGTGCAGTGGACATCTCCAGTAAACATGTAGGCTGTGACACCTGCCAGATGAGTCGTCAAATTTTCTGCTGTTTTATACAGGCAGTACTCTTTTCAGATGATCAAGAGCTACTAAAGACTGACCTCTGTAACTGGCCTAATTTCCACTTAGGTTCGCACTAATCCTAACTAACTGCATTTAACAGCCGTTTGATGACGATAAACCTGATGGAGTAATTAATTAGGAAGTCTTCTCCGGTATTCAGCATCTGGCTCACCTGGTCTGGCCAAAGGCGGAGAACGGTAGTTTAGACAGGTGGTTACTTGACAAACTCCGGAGCAAGATGCTGTGGTTTCAGCTCGAACAGTGGGTGTCCCAAACATGGACAGAAAACATCACAACTGGTTCGTCCTAAAAGGGGCCAAACTCGCGGCCGGGTTTCTATTTGTGCTACCTATTGACATGCGCTACGTGGTCAATTCTCGGAAATCGGGTTTGCGGCTCACGTGGTTACCAAAATAGCAGAGGTAGCTGAAGAGTTGTCCAAACTACTACATCTTCGTCCAAACTACTGAACTTGCACCGAAAAACACAAGCGGAGCACCTGGGGGACACGTCCCGGACAACGATAGATCACGGCATGAAGCGATGAC